ATGTGATGAAAGATACTTCAGCTGTGTTTACCCTCGCGTTTGCTTTCTTGGTTTCATTTTTCCTTGTGGGACACAGACGTAAAACATAAAAATAACACTTGAATGAAAACTGTTTCGTGAGTTGTTTCTGCCCACTGTAAAATGCCGCACTTGTTCCTTCGCCACTTGTCTCTGTGCAGCTTGTTTTATGCCTCAGCTCTTCAGAAACTAGCTTGCTTTTTACAAAATCCAACGTAATTACACTCCTACTTCGAAAGAATAGAATGTCTATTGCTGTGACGACACTTTGATACTGAGGTCTTGATATGGACGCCAGGAGCTGTGATATTACTTCCATGTCATTTATGTTTCCACCGGCATTCTTGAGTTCTGCCACTGTCCTCTCAAATTCCACAATATATTCATTCAGCGAACTGGTTGCACTGTACCTCATATTGCGTAATTTCTGCTGCAACTGAACTTAAGACGCAACATCACTTTTCTTGTATATACTTTTCAGTGTACCTATAATGTCTTTGGCTGTTGTTTTACATTTGATCATCTCCAGTACATTGTCACACAGGCATTGTACAATCAGACTCCTTGCACGCAAACCGTTCTTTTTCCATGCACTTACTAGTGTTGCATCGGTTGGGGCTTCGCCAGAAATTATATGTAGCACTTCATGATGCTCTAGAAGCAGCTTGACAGGAAATTCCTTATTTCCATACCCTGTGCCGTCGAAAATTTTTACTTCGATCGAGTTCTCCCTCAACATTTTTCCAGTTTTTCCACAGTTCCCGCCAATGTCTATACCACCTTACTTGACTGTCTAACCTCACAAACTTCTCAGGTTTGAAATCACTCGTTTCTTTGACTGCCTGCTGTTAGAACGTAACTGGGCCCATAATCCAGACTTCGCAGAGTTAATAAATTACTTTTCATTCCAAAGCTACTTGTGTTTGTTGTTACATAGATTGACTGTCCTTCGAACAAGTATTTGCCTTCTGTCAAAATGTACAGAACAAAAAAAAGTATCAGCATAGCACTACTTGTATGAACAGAAAAATTAAGGTTGCGTTTCAGTATGAGAATTGTTATATAACCAAAGTTACAATCAACACTGTTTGAGTCACGTTACGTAAAATTGGGGTGAGTAATTGAGGATCATTAAAATAAGAGGTCAGCAAATGTGAATATTTTATATTAATTCATCAAAGACCATGTCAAGCGTATAATCAACAGGATAGTCTGATTCATCGAGGTCTTCCATTTCATTGACAATTCTATATTTCTCAATATAGTTGATTGACTCATAATCGGAAATGCCATATACAATTCGGAAAAGAAGCTTATTAGCTTACGTACTGGTACGTAAACTATGTAATCCAAATCGTGAAAATCCAATTCTTTTGGGAGATTTGAACTATCCATATACTCATTTGTGAACTGATGAATGCAGTGATATAATGCTATCTGAGATGCTGACGATAATCAATTGTATCTCGAAATCTGCGACTCTCTTCATTTATTTCTCGTGTACTGATAACATGTACAAAAGTATTGTAAATCCAAACGAATTATCTCAACTNACGAATTCTTCTTGCTGGTAGTGTGAGATATCAGAATTGTATGTTGATAGTTTCAAATATTGTATTTCACCGATACGTTTTCTATTAAGAAGCAATACTAAACTCAGAACGCACTCTGTGAGTTTTCTGAATTGATTTTTCATATCTTTGGCATCAGCCATTAGATAACTTGCTTTTTGAGCTTCTTCTAGGGCATATTTTTGGAATTTTATAATATCACTAGTCAAAGGATATAGTTTTGGTTTCTGCCAATGTTTTTCATTCAAATCTTTCAGTGCCAAGCTGGATATATCTGTATACCAGTGATCACTGATGAGTTCCTTCAAACGATTGATATCTTTCAACGTTTTTTCAGGATTCTCACAATGAAGAAAACGGCTCTTCTTTATGACAAGTTTTCGTGCTAGGTTACAAACTTGTTTGAGCCGTGTACCCATATGTAGAGCTAGACTTGCAGATTTGAAGCTTTTGGAATCACTATCGTAACCACTTATTACTTTGGTGGCTACCACCAAATTATCAAAATATTCTGGTTTTAAAACCTCCATGAGATTATTTGCTGCAGTTGTTTGTTTCAGAACTATCAGAAGCCGACCTAATTCTCGCATTAAATTAGAAATAACTGTTCTTATCTGAACCCTCTTGTGTTTTGATAATTCACTTTCCCCATAGCTGCAGATGAGTACATCATTCATGGCAGTTTTAGAAATCTCATCCTTCCTCATAAAAGTGAATACTTCATTTTTCAGTCTGAGAGAATCATAAAATTTTTTATTTACCCCCTCACATATAGTGAATATTTGTGACTGTGATAAATGATTGGCACGTTTTGAGTTTTCATCACATTTTAAATCGCATTTTTTTCTGTGCCTCCTCAAATAATTTCTTTTATAGAACCCGAGTCAAAAATCGCATATAACTTATTCTACCTCTTGATCGTTGGCTCTTGGTCTTTTGATAGGGTGAATTTTATTTTCTTGATTATAAAGAGAAAAATTTCCTTGTCTACGAATAGTATCTATCAACATGTTTCTCTTATGGTGTTTCGGGGGCAAGGCTATGATCTCTTTCACAGCCACTTCATTTTTATGGGTTCTCTCGAGATTCCTCGGAAAATGTGTTACTTCAAGAAAACAATATGGGCATGTATTTTTTTTTGTCCATGTCCTACTACTTTGTAACAGGTCAATTCCAAAACCTTCATCAAACTGAAAACAAACACGAAGATTCGTGGATAATTTTTGTTCACTATAATAATCTATAAATAAATCTGATGGTTTTTTAGCAGAAGTCAGTGTGTCTCAAATATTTGATATTACAATCATAATTATATGTTAAACGAAGACTGAAATATATCGCTAATTAATATAGAGACGATANGTTATGATGTGGAAATAAATATGAGAGCCAGCCATTTTACATATCAGGTAGCAAGTGGTTTCACATTGAACAATGATGATCTGAATAAGATGAAATGAATTATAAAAGTATTTTCTATTACCTGACTTATTTTTCCATAGTTTATAATGGTCCTCTCTATATTATTATTTTCTGCTGATTCATGCTGTTGATATGAGAGAATATTTCGCTTCTGTTTTTTTGGCGGGGTTGGAAGTGGTTGTTGGGATATTTCCTTCTGAAAACATTTAACATTTCGGAGTCAATATTAATAACCCTAAATGCTGTCGTGAACATACTTACACCAAAATTTTCACTTGCAGTATTCATGTCATTCTCACAATAGCTATCATAGTTTGCTTCCTCATCCTAATGAAGAGAAAGACATTTAGTTAATATAAAAATATTTTCTGATAAGAGGAAAGAGAGTTTTCGAAAAGTATACAACTTAATTATTCTTTGGAAGAAAGTTTGTGGAGGAGTCAATGTTTTTCATGTTTTTCTGGGTTCCTCAACCTAGCACAATCTGAAGGCTAAATCAACACAGAATCTGTTAGAGTGTAATAAAGGGCAATTTGAAAAGTTCACCCTGCAAGTTACTACGTATTACTATGTGATATTTATGAATTTTGTCTATGAATTTGGTAATTAATCGAAAAATTAAATTTATATACTCAACTTTCCGTGAAATGGCTTACGTTATGGAAAGTAACCCTTTTTTGCTCTCAAAATAAAATAAAACTTTGGTGAAAAATACCTCAATTGAAGAAAGATATATTTGTTTTGTCAAAAGTCAAAATTAAACCATTAGCATTCTCCAAGAATTCACTTCCAGTTCTTATTTCAATCTTTAACTTCTCGCCTTAGCAATGGTAATCATGCATGATACATTTTCATAGAGTATGATGGATTATACTTGTTTTTCTGTAGAAAGAATAACGAGTGACAACGAAAACATTTTACACAGCTCCAATCAGATGTTTCATTGAAGCCAAAATGTGTTTGATAAAGCCATCGAGAATTCAACTCCGGTTTAACCGAAAATGGAATCAAGTCAAGAATTCTGAACAGAACTCGTTATTTTCTACAAATTCCGTATGGCGGCAATATGACGTCATCTACGAAAATTTGGTCAAGAAATTTGACGTAGTGAGCAACAAAAAAAGTTTTTCACAAATTCATGTACACTTTATTCATTATAATTCTTGTACTTTCAAAGATAAAGTGCAGTCCATTTTTCTGTGCTAATGGACAACTGTAAGTTTCAGAGCTCCATGTACTATCTCATTTTATACATCGGTTATTGTATAAGATAAAAAATACCAACCGTAAAGATTCAAGTTTTTTATTTTTTAGAATGTTGTAAAAGTTCAAATAAAATGAATTGTATGTTATTTTTTAAGTAATTATCAACTCACAATGACATAGAGTATCTTCGAACTTTTACTTTTTCACTGGCATAGATAAATTAATTACATAATACCTATCTTTGACATTGTATCTCATGAATAGATATATTTCGATGTTTGAAAAATACCACTTTCTATCAAGATTATCGTGATGGATTAAGTAAAAATTGGCATTTCAAAACAAATTATAAAATGTATATGAATTGCTGACAAATTTCAACTTTCGAATTTTTCCTCAAAAACTAATCATTTATCTTGTTTACAAACGATAATGTAAGAATAACTTTTTGAGCTACTAATATACTGTTTCCATCCGACTTTTCAGGTTTTGTTCATGTCTTCTTATACGAACACAACCAGAAAATATAAATGAAAACATGAAACAGTGGAAAATATGTTTAGATGAAACTTCAAGACTTGAGTGAACTTGAGTGAACAAAACTCATCATTAAAGAACCTCACGAATAAATGAGAATCCTTTCGCCAGATGATAACTATTTCAACCACTCCCGTACCTACTTACCGTTGCTAAGGTAAGATGGAAATATGAACCTAAACAGAATTCTTCGCCAACATGTTGTCTGTGCAATCTCGTAGACGTAGACTATCAAATATGATATTTAGACATTTTATTGATTTAATATTTGTTATTTTCTCGAATTTGAGAACGGAAAAAATTATCAAACCGTGGATAACATTGAAGTCAGCTGAGAANTCAACGGTTTTGGGAATCCTCATCTTCGGGGTAGTCGGATGTTACACTATCCGAGAATTCAATTTCATCAAGGCTCTTTCCTTTGAATTGTGAAGCTTGTCCTTTACTCATAGCAAGTAGTAATTTTGACACCTTTGCAGTTTGATAAATGTCTTGAGGTAATCTGGAGAAAGTTGAAATTTGGAAACAAATGAATTACAAGCATGTTGTGGAGGTCAAATAAATATGAAATTGAATTGTTTTCCATATAATTGCCAGTATTTAGTAGATTTGGATACAAACGATATTTTTGTGTAGATAGTAAATGAACCATTCTGAAGATAAACAGCTGAATTTCGATTCGTTTACCAACGTCTTGCACTCAAAAGATCGAATAAGTTGAAAGTACAATTATAATATAATTGATGTGGACAATAACATTCGATGAATTAATTTTCAGCATTTATTGATTTTCAAAAGAATATAAGGATAATACATGAATTTGAATGGAATTTAATTGAAAAGATGTATGCAACTCGTCATTAACACTTTCCATCATGAATATTGCCCATGAGCATTTCAAAATAGAAATGTGAATTTCAAATGAAAATATTCTCCATTTTTATAGAAACTAATATTTTACCTCTTTTTTCTTTCTCAAACTTTTGAAAACTGAGAAATTTGCAATTCAAATCGTTCAGAAATGTCACTCAGATATTTCGAAAGATGCATGCATGTTTCAAAATAAACTCAAATAAGACACAATTATTTTGTATAAGTAAATTCTCACCTATAATAAGCTTCATGAGTTTTTTTAGTATGTCCCATGAATGATGCGAACTGTTCAATTTCCGATTCAGTCATGTTCATTACCTGCAAAATTGTTGAAATTTGTTTTCTCAAACGAGTGGACGTAAAAAGAACTGGATCTTGTACTTCAGCTTCATTTGCTAACTTTTTCAGTGTGTGATATCCACTCAACCATCTATTATCACTTCTGGGGTTTGCAAATAAGTATCCATTTGTTTCAGGAACACATTTTTCTCTATAGTTCAACATGATATCGATGAGATCTTGGTATTTTTTAGGAAACAGGATGGCAACTGGTTTGCTTCCTTTTCCAGCAGTCACAACCCTTTTGAAGTTTTTGGTCAATATTTTTTCGGCATCGCTGAGAGAATCAACGAATTCTTCTTGCTGGTAGTGTGAGATATCAGAATTGTATGTTGATAGTTTCAAATATTGTATTTCACCGATACGTTTTCTATTAAGAAGCAATACTAAACTCAGAACGCACTCTGTGAGTTTTCTGAATTGATTTTTCATATCTTTGGCATCAGCCATTAGATAACTTGCTTTTTGAGCTTCTTCTAGGGCATATTTTTGGAATTTTATAATATCACTAGTCAAAGGATATAGTTTTGGTTTCTGCCAATGTTTTTCATTCAAATCTTTCAGTGCCAAGCTGGATATATCTGTATACCAGTGATCACTGATGAGTTCCTTCAAACGATTGATATCTTTCAACGTTTTTTCAGGATTCTCACAATGAAGAAAACGGCTCTTCTTTATGACAAGTTTTCGTGCTAGGTTACAAACTTGTTTGAGCCGTGTACCCATATGTAGAGCTAGACTTGCAGATTTGAAGCTTTTGGAATCACTATCGTAACCACTTATTACTTTGGTGGCTACCACCAAATTATCAAAATATTCTGGTTTTAAAACCTCCATGAGATTATTTGCTGCAGTTGTTTGTTTNGTAGGCTGGGTTTGAGGCTGTCACTCGAGCTAAGTACCTATTGCAAAAAGTGCGGCTCATGAAGGTCTATGCCTGTACCGGAAATCAAATATGTACTTTCAAAAATTACTAAAATACAGGGGTATCTTCATCTTAAGGGTATCACAGATAATATCACAAAAAATTGCACCAGCATTCATTTTACTCACAAGTCAACATAGGTATCAGAACATATTCCAAATGCTACGCTTGTAGCATTTGAAACTTGTTCTGACATATTGAATACCTACATGGAAAAAAAATAAAACACATATTTCATCTCATTAAATGGTTTAAACTATTAGGATTGAGAAATTGTATTGCATCAAGAAAAGTAAATATATAGCTTTTTCTGAAATCGAATTCATATCGTCTAATGAGCATAAGTTCTAGTTGTAAGTACCTTCGAAAGATGTTCAATATGAAAGTTTTTCTAATCTCAATTTAATAATTCAGAGTCATTTTGCTTGGATAATTGGTTACGTCACTGAATTGAGAGAAGAGTCTCATCGGCGAGAAATGTAGGAGCAATTCAAAATATTCGAATTGCTCATGATGTGGAAATAAATATGAGAGCCAGCCATTTTACATATCAGGTAGCAAGTGGTTTCACATTGAACAATGATGATCTGAATAAGATGAATTGAATTATAAAAGTATTTTCTATTACCTGACTTATTTTTCCATAGTTTATAAAGGTAGCAAGTGGTTTCACATTGAACAATGATGATCTGAATAAGATGAAATGAATTATAAAAGTATTTTCTATTCCTGACTTATTTTTCCAAAGTTTATAATGGTCCTCTCTATATTATTATTTTCTGCTGATTCAGGCTGTTGATATGAGAGAATATTTCGCTTCCGTTTTTTTGGCGGGGTTGGAAGTGGTTGTTGGGATATTTCCTTCTGAAAACATTTAACATTTTGGAGTCAATATTAATGACCCTAAATGATGTCGTGAATTTACACCAAAATTTTCACTTGCAGTATTCATGTCATTCTCACAATAGCTATTGGGGGAGGCTTAGAACCGGCTCAAATCTCCTACTCAAATTGTTTTGCAACAGTGGCAATGTGAATCAGGGAGTGGGTATTGTAAACACAAAATTCCTGTCCGTAAATACTGATTGAGTGTTTTACAAAAATGTGTAGTATTTTATCAGCATAATCATTATATTGTTCATTCAGTTTTTGACTCAGTAAAATAGACATGCCGTATTTCAGTAGCATAAAATTATGAAATATTTTTTTCGGGTAATGAATCCTGTAGCACTACTGGACCAACATACAACAAAAACTGACGAAATTCTATTGCTTTCCAATTTTCCAAATCACACAGTAATCTAGGTTTTCTATTAAACTCCATAGGCCAATAAATATTTGAAGATTTAATGTTTTCATTCATTTGAATAACTTTTATTCCATATCTTCTTCCAGTATCTCTCCATATGAATAATATTTTTCTGACCACACCCGAACAAACCGTATGCATTATAATCTGAAGGGAAACATGAAATGAGACCAATTTTCAAGAGAACTAGTGGAGTAATGCCTTTATGGAACTCTACATTTTCCTGCAAATTGAAGGACTTGTCTGTACGAAGATCTGCATTCAAAGTACAAAAAAGTCATTCTACGGTTGAAATAATTTTCTTTAGCCAAACATAGTAGATGAACAATGTATGTTCTGGCACACTTCAAGGTCGTGCGTAGCTGGTAAGTATTTCGGAGAAAAGCTTTAGCGAGTGAAAGAGAGAAACGTGTGACGTCATCGACGCAGGATGGAATGAGTATCGTAGCGATTCAAGCGAGGAACTCGGCCCCCTTAGTACTCCGCATTACCGATCGGCCCCCTTTGGGACTCCGCCTCACCCCTCGGCCCACTTGTCTCGTTCCAGTCACGTGATTCATATTAAAAAAGTTTATAGTTTTGAGAATCGAACCCAGGACGTCCGCATGGTAGGCATTGTCCTTAGCCTCTACACCAACGTAAGATATTGAAAGTAACTGTGAATGATGGGTATTTATAACGTAAGTTTTGTCGGGACCGAAATTGACTCATTTTATATACTTGACCGCATTTTTTTGATTTCCGTAGAATGTTAGGGAAGTTGTAATCATCATTATCATGTTGAAGATAGGAAAATGTACTTAGATTTGGGAAAGGATTAACATTTCATATAAAGATGTGTATGTGTGTGTAAGAGCGAGAGACGTGTGTGACGTAATCGAGGCAAAGAGAGATGGAGATGGTATCGATGTTTTACGTTCCTAGCACAAGCAGGTGTTGCCGGTTGTAAAATAAATAGTTGTTTATCGGGCAATGTATCATTGCCGGTTTCCAAATTAAGCCTGAACGACTCGATGAAAATTGGATGCGCGAAAGTGATATATTAATAATAATGAATCAGATTTAAGAAAAAATATAACAACCCAACAGTTCAACGTGCGATCCCTCAATGTGAACGGGGTGTCTCAGAATGCATCATTGAAGAAAAAAACATGGCGTCGAAGTGTACAGGGTGCATCAAAATAGATACATCATTTAGGAAGAAAAACAACAGTTTCACGAGGCTGTAAGTTTTCAATATGCGATCTCTCAATTTGTTCGAGGTGTCTCAAAATATAGCATTGAAATCAAACATGGCGTGGCATTGTACAGGGTACAACAAAATATATTTGAGAAAAAAACATGTCGGTTTAAAATATGATATCAATGTGTATACAGGGTGTTTCAAAATACATCATTTGAGAAAAAAATATGTCGGTTCAACAGGAGTCTAGCGTTCTAACATGTCAGAAGGGAACTATGTCTCGTATCTTTGTTAAACAAGTTAGCATCATCAGGAGAGGGAGGAGATGGCACCAAAGTTGTCGAAGAGTTACGTATCGTGGAGTTGACATTCGAAAATGGGGAAAGCCTAGTATTCGATCGTTTGACAAGCGTTTCGACCGTTTTGCATGCAACCGTTTCGCTTGCGTTTCGACCGTTTTCCGTGCGTTTCCGATCGTTTGCGTACGTTTTCGAGCGTTTTGCGTGTGTTTCAGACCATTTTGCGTGCGTTTATTTATGAGGGTCGAATAATAATAATAATAGTGATGAAACATTAAAACTTTGAAAGTGACGTAGTCAGCGTGGGAGGTGGTGGCGTGTGTGATGATGCGTGGAAGTTAATGATTTATTACAAAAAATAATAGCGCAACTCTCAGAAGTTGTATATTCACGTCAAATGAAAGGATAAGAAATGCAGAATTCATCGACAAAGAAAAAGTTAATGATAGTTGAATCTCAACGTGCAGCACATCAAATGAATGGGAACTGAATACAGAGTGTCCGACAGAGAAACAACAAAGATAGCGTAACAAATATAATATCCAGCGCCTAATGTGAAATAGCATAGGAAAATGAAAAAATATTGTATACTGTAACATATGATATATTTGGATTTCTTAGGGTGAGAAGGTTATGAACAACTACGAGTATAATCCAATTGCAGAAGTTTTATTCAAAACGCAGAATTTGTCGACAAAAAAAAAAGAAAAAATCGTCGTATACTGAAACATATGGTATTTTTCGCTTCCTTGGGGTGAGAAGGTTTCGAATCCATCAAAAACGACCACTTTCGGTTTTCACTTCCGGTCATCAGTGGACTAGTTTATACGTCATGAAACCTAAATAATAATTTTTCGAAGTCAAAAGGGCCTCATAACCTATTTTCATTATACTAGCCGCAACATACCGATGTGGGTACTCAATTCAAACGATTTCATTTGTAGGCAAAAAAAATAATGTCAAAATGTCACATATTCGTTTATAATTCTCGAATCGTCACGTACGGCACGTCAAATGGAAGGTGAAAAAATGCGAAATTCATCGACAGAGAAAAACAAAGATGGCGCAGTATGTCAAAAGGACACTAAGCAACATCTTCGTTAAGGATAGTTGGATGTCAACGTGCAGCACATCAAATGAAAGGGAAACGAATGCAGAATTCATCGACAGAGAAAAAAAACGAAGACGATGCCAATAGGGCACTGAGTCGCATCGTTATATGTGGCACTTCAAATAAAAGAGAAAAGAATGCAGAATTCATGTGTTTGTTGCACTTTTGTATTCATACCCAAGGTGACATGGATTTATATCGACGTTGAATCGACATGAATTACTTCACTACTGATGTCTGTATGGATATTCGTGAAGATATTATCGATAACAGTACTGCTATTTTTACTAATTCTAGTGAATTCGGTTATACCCTTTTTTCCCGTTAATCATCAGTTGTCGCCCCCATACGGCAACTACCAGAAGTTGAGAAACTTGTGTGAGCTAAGGACTAACGAGGTCTTACCTTTCAACGTGTTATTCCTAACATGGTTGCAGAATCATCCCGTCTTTAACCAGATACATTCTCTCGAGGAAAGTATCTGGTCTAGGCAGGAATCGAACTCCGATCGTGAGCCAGGCGCACTACCACCACGGTCAATTCCACACTTTGGATCACTGGATGGAGATTCATAAAAGCAACCCACATCAAATTCAATATTCTGAGCACTTATTTCAATGAGGGAAAACTCGAATATTTTCTCATATTTTTTATTTTACAAGGCATTACTGAAAAATCGTAAGTGTCATTCACGAATATAGCTACTCCACCCCCCATAATGTTCTACCTACAGAAATAGTCAGTAAGAGTATAAGAATTAAGAGAAACTTGCAAAATTTCAAATGTTTTACACTACATTTCAGTTAGGCAAATAATATCAGGGAAATTAGGAGTTCCTAACAGACATTCAAGTTCATCTACTTTATTTTGCAGACTGCGTATGTTTAAGTGGGCAGTTTTCAGGGTGATTGTCTTAACGTTGAGGGATCACCTGAATATAATCTTCACAAGAGGTATTGACAATAATTACGAAAAAATTCTTAGAAAAAAACACGGAAGTAATCACCACTCAAACCAATGTCTTCCAGCAAAATTTA